TTAAAGAGGTTTTTGCTATAGGGTGCGTGCGATCGCCAGACAGAGAGAGACAGACAGAAAGCGAGAAATCATCCCCCAGAGGGATGGCCATGCTGCAGTTCCTTCTCCTCCATTCTCCTCTCAGGATCTTGGGCACGCACGCACACATGCCCGGCGTGAGTTTTAAGCCACTGGGTCCGGGACACGAACCGCGGTCAACTACGTGGGAGTCCAGCAACATAGCCATTACGCCAACTGCTGGTCCCTCACTTTTCTCTTTCTTGCTCTCTCACTCTGTCCCTCTCTGGTCAAATTAAAGAAATGAATAAATAAAGCTAAATAAAATATTTCTTTAATTAAATAAATAAAATGAAATGCTTATTTGCACAAAACACGGAAGCAAGGGGAATAAAAGAAGTAAGAAAAGCTATTCCGAATCCTATTATTTAGGAGGAGAGTTTGTTGTTGTTGTTGTTGTTGTTTTTCTGGAGAGGTTTTCGCTATAGAGCGCGTGCACTCGCCAGACAGACAGAGAGAGACATAGAGACAGAAAGTGAGAAATCACCCCCCAGGTGGGATGGTCACCCCGCAATCCCTTCTCCTTCAGGGTGAGTTTTAAGCCACCAGGTCCGGGACGTGAACCACGGTTGACTACGTGGGAGTCCAGCGACATAGCCATTACGCTAACTGCTGGTTCCCTAGGAGGAGAGTTGTTAATGGGGGTAATAAACTGGCAAAGTGTTGTCCAGAAGTATTCCATCATTTTCTCCTTTACCTGTGTTTATGAATATTTGACCACAGTGTCATCTGTGATGGTATTGTCAGCAGAAATATTTTTTAAAAAAGAATTATCAATTTAACTTTATTTATTCAACTTTACTTATTCATTCTTATTTTTAATTTGACCAGAGAGAGTTAGAAAGCCATTTCATAAAATTTTATATATAAATATATATATACACACACACACATACTTACACACACAGAGAGACCAGAGAGGGACGGTGGGGTGGGGGGGGATGAGAAAGCAAACTGCCAGGTCTAGGACTCAAACTGAAATCAGCCATTTGGGAGTCCAGCGCCCTTAACCACCATACCACCTCTGCTGGCCCCAAGATAAACTTTTAAAAAAACCCGTTAGGTGTATTTTTCTGCTCTGGTTTTTCATTGGAGTTCTGGTTTTCTTGAGCATGCCAAAGTGATTCATATGGTAAGAAAGTCCTACAGTTAATTGCAGGTTGAGCTTTTTGTTTGTTTGTTTGTTTTTTGTTTTAAGCGAGATTTTTGCTACAGAGCATGTGTAGCATGCTCTGTAGAGACAAATAGAAAGCGAGAAATTATTCCCAGGGGCATGGCCATGCTGTAATCTTTTCTCGGGGTCTTAGGCATGCATGCACACGTGTCTAGCTTGCGGGGTTTTTTTTTGTT